TGATTTAATTTTTACAACTTTTCATTCACGAAAAAATGGTATTTGCAATAATAGATGCTAAAAAACAGTACAAAAAGTTTTGTTCATTATTTTTTGTTTGCCAATTATTTATTCAAAAATTTTTCCTACTACATTGAACAAAAACCGGTGTTAATGTATCGATAATAATGATCATGGATGAACATTTCTGTAATGTTTTTTATTCTCTTATTTAAGACATCTTAACAATAATCCAAAAATGATAATCATTGATGGAAGAAAACAAAACAAAAAAAAAATAATTTCATCGTCTCTTGTTCATCGTTCAATTTATTGTTTGTCGGATTTCATTAGTTGATTAGAAAATTTAATCAAATGAAACCAAGTGTATGTTTCAAAAACATCAGAATATTTTTTTCGCTTGTTATACAGACTTCATTAAACAAAATGATTCCTCCTTATATGCAGACATAGAAGAAAAAAAAATAAAATAAAAATAATATTGTGATCACATAATGTTGATTACATGTAAGAAGTAAACAATTTAAATGTTTTATTATAATCGTAGATTTTGGCTATTTTTTTTTTTTGGCTACAAATTAGAAATTCCTGCACAAACAAAACATCAAGAAAAAACTTGTTCAGTTGTGATAAGACATTGAAGATAATGCCATTTTTGTTATGGTTGATCAGTGTTGGTGTTGTTGTTTTCTAACGAGATTGAACAAACAATAAAAACATGTATATATAAAGAAAATACCAGTATTTGTTGAGATGAGAAGAATTTTTTTTGGCGTATTTGATAGTTAAGAAAAAGTGATTTGTCCATGTCTTGATCTATTTTTTTTATATATAACCATACAAGCTATCCCAACCGATGCGGATATAAAAATTGAAAACATCATAATTCTTAGACCAAAACGAAATGTTTTTTTTCACATAGTTCCATCTTATTATTGTTGTTTTTTTCATTTGGTTGCTTGGTTGTTTTTTTTTCTGCAATAACTTGTGTTCGTGCGTGTGCCGATAACAACACAAAATATATTTGTTCCAAACAAAAAAAAAGTTGATTCATTCGGAAATGAACTAATGACAAGCCATAAGTTTTACACCTACCCCATTTGAAAATTTTATTCAATTGCTTGTTTTTTCGATTTATCTTGCTTAATAAATTGTTCATAGAATTTCTATTTGAATTCTCATTCATCATTTTGGATCCTATGATTCCATAGTTATTTTCAATTTTATTTTGTTTTTGGTTAGTCTGTTTTGTCAAAATTGATTACAAATTTAATCGATTTCAATTTTTAATTTCATGTACCAAAATTGTTTTCAAAAATGGTTTTCGAGTCAATGGTCATTATTTATGTGACTAGGATTTAATTTAAAATTATAGTTGTTTGCTTTAATGGATATATGACCAAAACAGAATAAAAACTAAACTGAAGAATAAAACAATAGAACAAAAGTATTTTTGAGAATTTTCCCATTTCTCAGCATGGACATTCGAGAAAATGTATTGTTTGTAAACATTTGACCCAAACTAAATCCAAAGCTATTAATCAAAATTAAAGCTTCTTAGGTTACTTTTTCACAGAGTTATTTATTTGAACATTTTTCTTCTTGAATATGGCTTTTGTATTTCAAGAGTCGAGGTTATCTCTTAGAATATTGTGAGAATAAAAATATCAGTAAAATTAACTGTCAAATAGTTGAATGGAATTCGCCAATACAGAAACGAAAATTTCTTTTCCATAATCAAATTTTTATGCGGTCTAAGAATAAAAATAGGAGGGAGAGAGTGAAAAAAATATTCTATTCGATCGAGAGGCCGAAGAAATGAGTGAAAGAAAAATCGATTACTTTTTCAATGGCCATGAAGTGGAATTTATATGCCGATGACGATGATGATGGTGATGATAATAATAATCCCTATGAACCTTTCTTTTTTCGTTGAAATTTTTTTTGTGAGTTTTGAGCCTGTTTCCAAAAAAAAAAAAAATTTTTTTTCCTGTCTCTCATCGTTTTAAAAGATTCATCATGACGGCTAGAATATTTTATGGTTGAAGTGAATTTGATTATAAACTATATAAGATGAAGAGAAAAAAATCTCTATAATCTACTACAGGAAAAAATGAGAAAAAATTTCATTTGTTTTTTCTTTGATTACAATGCATGCGATTCAACTAACGACTAACGATCGTAACTGACAAATGGAGATCGATTCTTTGGACGAACAAATTCTTAAGAAACCGAGATCTAGAGAATTCGATCAAACATACATAGTAGTTGAAAACTGAAAATCGATAGAAACTAGGTTGATGATGATGATCCAATTTACATTCACGTCATAAATACTATATGCATATCGGAATTATAACGGAACAAACAAACAAGAAACACTATCATAATACTTGCTGATGATTTGCGAATAAATTAATTCTTTCTAGTAAAATTTTTGAAACCTAATAATTCAAAAGAATATAGAAATAAACAACAACCTGTGAAATATGCGTGTTGAAAATTTCAATAAATAGATTCAAAAATGTATCAAAAAAAACATATAGCTAATTTAATTTCATTAAATGATATGAAAATATCTGAAATTTACAAGTGAAAAGAGAAGAAAATAAATTGAAAATTTGTATGGACATCAATGCTGTCAATGTTGTATATATGGAAGAAAAAAAAATTCATAACTTTTTGAACTTTCATGAAGATGATTATAACTGAATTTTTTTTCCTAGGAATTGATGGAATTGAATTTTCCATCTATACATTGTTATATATGATTGGTAAAAAAATCATGGAAAAGATGGGGAAAAAATTGAGTTACCCATCGAATTAGTTTATGTTTTTTTTTCTTATTTTTTCCCATTGTTTTTGTTTGTCAAGAATGACAGCAAAATTTCTATAACGGTAAATAATTTGCAAAAAAAACAAGCCTACAGGGCTCTTTTTAAAGGTCACGAATTTCATATGATTTATTATCTGGACAAAGAATTTTTAATGCAGAAAATTCTATTTTGTATCAAATTCAATTCTTTTGGATAAATCAAGATTTGAACAAAAAAAAATTTTATTGATTTCAATATCAAATACACAATACGTCAATTAAATTCAGGCTGTCGTCATGTCATCGACATGAATGACTGACATAATAATGACATATAGATGTAATGAAAAATGGCATTCAAGTTTATAAAGAATAATAATTCACCAAGTTATAGAAAGAAGAACTTTTATAAACTCTAAGCATTGACCGTTTTTTTTTGCCCAACCATTTTAATGTCTGAAATATGGGTCGTAGATTTTTAATGCCTTTATAATATAACAAAAGACATTTGTATACAATAACAACACTGATTTTGTAGAACATGCGCTTTTTATTGAACTATTTTTTTTTAGAATTCCTCACGTTTCTTTCTGGATCATCAGTGATACAATTCGAAAAACGAAAGGATCAGAAAACTTGTGAGTGGTTTTTTTATATATAAAAAAAACTTTCTTCTTTCTTTGGTCTGTCACTAAAATGTCAGCTATCGGCCTTTCTGGTCTTTTTTCTTTCATTTTTTTTTTTTTTGATTGGTTATTATATAATAATAAGAAGATGAATGACAAAAATCTTACATACACAGTCCATTGGTTGTTCCATATGATAAGAAAGCCTTAATAATGGTGCTAACCAAACACATTGTGCTTATGACAAAAAAAAATCGATTTTTTTTCCACTTCAATCTATTCAATACACGAAACACTTGGCTTGTCTAATTTTCTCGATTTAAATCGTCTTTTTTTTCACTTTCATTCAATTGATATTTGAATTTAAGAGTTACATCCATGATAAATATATATGTAAATGAGACAACCTTATGAAAATGATATGGAAACAACATTAAATGTTTTTAGTGTCATTGATGGTTTTCATTTATTATAACTACTATACACCGAATGCTATGCAATTATATTTTGTTAATGTCAATTGAATCTTTTTTTTTCTATTAGATTCTATATTTTTTTTTGCCATATTTATAACATTCATCTTATACTCAAATACATATATTTGTTTAATAATAAAAGTGAGTCTAAAAGATATATATGTAAAAAAAGAAGAATAAAAAAAAAGAATGAAATCAGACCGAAAGACCAATCTCAACAGCAAACAACCTAATAATGAGTAACAATAACAAAGAATAAAAAAAATAGGATCCATCATTATTATCTTTATAATGAAAACTAGGTTTGAGTGGAATAGAGAAAAAACATCAACAAACATCTTTTTAGAAAAATCCATGATGATGATGATAATAATGATAATAATGATGGTGATCATAATGTATTTGTACACTATTAATCACTAAACAACAGAAAATAGAGCAAATGTCCATGAATGAATGTTTACAGCTAATAAGAATATCTAAAACCTTGAAAGTGGGAAAAAAATCAAAGATAGAAACGACTTAGTAGTTGCAAAAATTGGTCAAAAAAAAAAGTTTTTTCTTTGCTCTAATATCCGACACATGCACGCAAACTATAGTATACGAATGAAAAGGATAAGAAAAATTCTCGAAATCGTAGGACAATAATGAGATCCAAAATAAACAGAAAAACAACTGAACAAACGATGTACCATCTTTTCCAAAAATCCAAGTTATAATACTAAAAATCATTTCAAATGAAAAAAAAAGAAAATCCAACCATAGTCCTTGTTGTTAAGTAAAACGTAAGTCAAAAAACAAAATTCCAATGAAATCTTGTTAACGATACGATTTTGTTTTTGGATGTTTTTTGCATACTTATCAACAAATTGGCAAAACAATAATAATAAATGTTTATTAATGATTTGAAAATGATCAGAAAAAAATAAACAGATAAAAAACAAAATGTTTTCGGCTTATCAAAGAAAAAAAAACAGAATTCTGTTCCGAAAATTTCTAAGCAGGAAATGACAATAAAAAACAAAAATCATATTACTAAAACTAAACTGATTTTTTTTTGTTTATTTTTTATTATCGTTTCAGATTGGTGGTTGACGATGGCCAAATATCTAGCCACTAAAATCTTATCCTATCATTATTGAGGTTTGTATGTTTATAATGATTGCCCATTATCAAATATGTGTGTGTGCGCGCACGATTAGACAATGTTCCATTTCCTATCTTATTGAGCGTTTTCCGTACATAGAATTGTCGTTACACATATGAAATAACGCAAAAAAAACTTGGTAGATAAAACTGACATCCCATAACGTTGGTTGTGGTATTTTTTTTTTATTTTTTTTTTTGAGTTTCATCAACATTGAAAATAACAACAACAACAACCATATATACTACTTTATAATCATAAAACGGAAATTCCGACTATACTACAGAATATATTTTCAACTAAATATATTAATAGTTGTGATAAACTGGAAAGATATTTTTTTATAATCAAACTAGTCATGAAAAATGTTTCCATTTTCATCATTCATTATCATGATGATCAATATTACTTAATGCTATGCTTAATAGGTATATAGAAATGATAATTCAAAAAAAAAAAAATTTGGTAAAATGAAATCATACTTGCAATTCTAATCGGTATGGTCTCACTAGAGAACACAACAAAAACAGCATTAATTCATTTTCATTATCGTTTAGTTTACTGTCATGATTGGTCTTATGTCGAGAATTTTTTGTTTTCTTTTATAACCAAAGCAATGTAATGAACAAACCATGCATCAAAAGTTTATCATGATTGAGCATATTCATGAATGTTGATAATGGAAAAATCACCGTCAAAAAAAAATATATTTCTTTTTTTTTTTTGCCAATGTTCCAACAAAATCTGATTCAGAATTTTTGCCGTGGAAAAAAACCGGTGAAAAAAAATTCTTTGGTCATCTTCATCAACAACAATGATGATGACGTACATTATTTAATCGTATTAATTTATCTCACATTTTTTTTCTTGCTTATTCCTGTGTAAATACGACTGTTATTAGTATGAGCTTTTATCTGAAAAAGTTATGGTTTTCCATTTTCTCTATACAACGAAAAAAAATGTGTGGTTTGTTTGATTTTATTTTCATCTTCTCATTGACAAAAAAAAAGGATGAAATTGATTTTGGTGATTTTGAGTATTGTAAAGAAAAAGTAAACTTATCAATATTCTTTCCATGATTGAATGAATAGAATGACATTTTAAATGAATGATGATGGAAAGTTCTTGATGATTTGTGGATACATTTTTATATTACTGAGTTAACCAGTGTAATGATAATAATGTTTGGTGACGTGGTATTTATATCATTATCATCACTCTTATTTCCAATCATTATCGATAATAACATAATAATGATTATAATTTTATCAATAATGATAATTTTTACCAAATGAATAATAGATTATTTGTTGATATCGAATCAAATGTGATGAATAGAAATTATTTCAAGCTTTATAATCAAAATGACTATGAAGATGATGATAAAAAAAACTGAAATACCAAATGTCATACATATAATTTAATAATAAAAAAAATTTCAATTTTAAATTATTCAATTTGTTTTTTGAAAAATCATAATTGTGGCCAGGCAAATAAGTTACTATCGATTCCAAAACATTTGATGTTGAAATAAAAATTTTTTTGTTTTGTTTTGTTTCATTTTCAAGAGAATAAATTCCATAAATCATTTTGTTACTGTGCACACCATTGGAAATTGTTGAACAAGAAAAAAAACCTTCAAATGCCATTTATAATGTAGTAGTAGACCAGCAACTAGCAAACAATTTTCTTCCATCTGGTTTATTGATTCCGTTTTTTATCATTCGTTTTTTTTGACTCTTATAAACATTGTTGATTCGAACTGTTTCATTTTATTTCATTCCATTTGTTTTGTTTTTTTGGTATCAAATGAGACGAAACTAAACAAATAAAACTAACAAACTGTTGTTGCCATTGATGATGAAGATGTTTACAATTCCCATTATCGAAAAAAACGGAATTACGTAATGCTAAACTTTATTTTCGATTTTTTGAGACCTACTAAAACTAATATATCTGCTAACAAATCGATAAACGAATAAAACAAACTATAGTTTTTTAAAGCACCAGCCGGAGCTAACAATTTTCACATGATGTGAAAGTTTCAACAATGGAAAAACGTTCCATCAAACATACAGAACGGTCAACTCTAACAATTATTCTGGCTACTAAAAACAATCAACGTGATGAGAATGACATTTAGTAAAAATTTGTTACTCATATGCAGCAAATTCAAAATAATTTCACGAAACAGGCAAAATTTGTTATAAATTAATTTAAAAAATTAAAACAATACATTGACAAAGAAAATGGAAATTTATGAACAAATTTTTAACGTTTTATGAGTTTTAAAGTAAAAATAAATCGGAAAAAAATCGAAGCGGAAATTCAAAAATAGCATGAAAAAAAACGAATGCTTCATCAAAATAGAATAATGCTTTGAGGTATTTTATTTCGCTCGAAACAAAAAAATTGTCATTTTCTTTTGATATGAAATAAATCAAAAAAAATGGCCCGGACTAAAACATTGCTACATGGTCTCTTGATTTTTAAGTGATATAAAAAAATGCTTTTTTGTTATTTTGCTTGGATGAAAAAAAATCATCAAACAGAAAAAACTAGAAAAAAAACAAATCAAAAATCATGGTTAAAAGGCAAGACAAGAAAAAATAAAAGTTAGTTTTTACATTCCTGAAGGATTCTTATTTAAAGTCAAGTTACTTGTTCATAGTCACTAGTTATCCGCTTGATTTATTTCCACTTAGAAAGTCCAATATCTCAGACTTGTTCTATTCATTTATTTGTTAAGATCTTCAGGTTTAAATAAAAAATTTTCTCTTTTTTTCATTGCTAAACATATCTAAGTAACATCTAGAAAGAAAGAGTTTATAATAGAAACAAAAAAAAAATCTCAAGAATTTGATGAATACCATCTAGATGAAAAAAGAGAATAAAAAGAATAATAGCATCACTTTTGATACTGGAAAGACAATCACTCAGAAAAAAAATCTGCAAATCAAGAATTTTTTTTACATTATATCACATAACACAAAATTCTTGAATTGTAACTAATAATGAAGGAGAAGTTAACTTTAAAGGGGCAATTCGTTTATCGTATTGTATTGTATAAAAAAAATTGCAGCAAATGTATGTATGTCCAATTCATTTGAATTTTTTTTTTCATATCAGAATATTTTCTTATTTAAGATCAAATTTCTGGGTGAAATTTTTTTCATTTTTTTCAACCGTCAGCTTTTGTTATTACAAATTGCAACCATTATATTGTATTGTATTGTATAAATTTTTCTTTTTTTTTGAACAATTTTCAGCACTTGTTGTCATTATCATTGTTCAAATTATTCTAGTATGCTTATTTCCATGGAAAAAACATTTGTACAATACAAATGAACGAATTTCATTTCAATTTTTTACGATCATACAAACATATATTATCCAGAATTGAAATGTTGTCGTCATATATCATGAATGACACATGAACATGTATTCATTGTGAGTAAAAAAATGTTTTCATGTCAAAATGTTATTAAGTGAAAAAAATTGCAATCAAAAAAAATATGATTACTGTTGTTTTTCAGGTTAGAATAAATTTTAATAAATTTGTTGGAAAAAAATGAAAGTATGTTAATGTGACAGAGATTTTTTTTCGTATATTTTATTCAAAAAAACAAAACAAATTATTGTTTCACATATCTATAAAAATCAACTACAAAATATAGTAGCGCAATAACAAGATTTTTACTCAAATAAACAACTGAATCCAATGTTACAGAATGTTAATATGACCAGTTATGTGGATCTGATTTATTGAACCAACAACAACATGCAAATACAACAATCGACAACAACAAAAAGAAAAGTTATTCATGCAACAATAATATAACGACAACAAATTTGATGCATCTCATTTTCAAAATAATTCGATTTTCTTGACGCATTTACATTATTATCATTTAATAGTAGTAGCCCTCTCTCTTTCTCTCTATCTTTCTATCTATCTATCTCATCTGAAACCATAGATTTGGCCTCAAATAGAACAATACAGTGCTTTTGGTTTTTTTTTGTTTATTTGTTTACGCTCCAATGCTTGAAACGACAATGAAAATAGAAATAATTCGACGAATCATTTGTTCCTAAATTTTTTCCAACTAAATAGAAATCAATGATAGTGTGTATGTGTGTGTGTGTGTGTGTACAAAATTAGTCAAAGTCAAAAGCAAATCAATGAATCATCTAAAGAATTTTTTTCATTGAATAGATGATTGATAAATGTTTGTAAATATGTAGTAGTAATAAACAGACAAAAAAGTCTTTAGATGCAGCTATTTTTGTAGATGGAATTTTGATTTATTTCTATTTCATATGAAACGTAACAAATATGTTGACATTAAAATAATTTAGAAACAAATACGAAGCATTCTTGTTAAAGAAAGAATTTTATTGATACCATTGTTTCTTTTCATGAGCTGTCAATTTCAATAATTATAGTGAAAATACCTATACAAAATCAACAATGAAAGAATAGAAAAAAAAACAAAGAATTTGCCATATAAAAATAACGAAATGCACAGAACCACAACAATAACTAATCCATTATTTAATTTAATTATATAATTGGTTGTTGCTATTTTTGTTGTCAATATAGTTTATTCCTATTTCACATTTCATATCAAAATAGAATTATCGTTTGAAAAAGAATGCTGAAAACAATTACAAATAAGATGAAAATAAATTCTAAAATGAGAAATTTTTTTTTTTCATTTTCTCAATTGCTTTTTGTTTTTGTTTTTTTTATTCTTTATTTGTAACGACATTTTGTGAAAACCTTGTTGGTTACAACGATTCTAATAATTGTAATTTGAAAGTTAATTTCATTTTTGTCTCTTCTCACTGAAATGTCAGTATTTATTTGAGATGATGATTGGATTTTTTGGGTCATTTTTATCGTAGTAAAAAATTGATGGCTACGAAAAGAGATGATTGATGTGTTTGTCATTTCAAAGTATTAGAGAAATCAAGAATGGAATCAAGGTGATTG